CCCTTCACCATCCCGCACAGGTAAGGGCTGCAGTGCCTGGCGTCCTGTTCAGGTGGTTTTCTGGGAGGTGCTGTTGAGGCAGATCATTGCCTGGGAATCAATCCCTGCTATGAGGAAATATTCCAGTGCACAGACTGAATTTCTCCTGTCAAAGCTCTCCGTGGCTTTCATACCTGATAGTGCTTGTTCTGCATCTACCACAAAGCCCTTTGGAGGGATGTCAAACACCCCTGAATTTATATTTCCCTCTACACTGGGGGAAAACCCATCAGAACTCATCCAGCTTCCTGAAACTGGTATCTCTCTGCTCGAGGAAAAGTGTTCACCTCTTTAGTCTCCCAAATACGGCTTGGGGTATTTCCTCACCGCTTGTGAGAGTACAAGCAGGGCGCTGGAAATGAAACCCCTTGAACCTGCCAAGCTTTGTTGTACCTTAAAGCTTCAGGTCTCCTCTTAACTTCTCTTTCCCCTCTGCCCTGTATCTCTTTCAGTACAACAAGAGCAACAGTGTTGAACGGCTACTACATCCCCAAGGATACCTGTGTGTTTGTCAACCAGTGGCAAGTGAATCACGACGAGTGAGTATTCCAAGGCAGGGAGAGGCAGTTCAGACCAAAAACTCCTGGGCACGGAGCTGCTGTGGGGTGACTTGGTCACTGGATCAGCAGCTCCCCATCAGTGCAGTTTACGTGCATTACAGTGGTGATGTCCTCAGTGCACCAGACATCCCGTGTACGTGCAAGGGCTGGCAGCTTGGGCTGCTGAATAATCAGGAATCAGGAGATCCTCCTGCCAAGCAGCCCTTGTGATCCAGGGTGATGGCTCTGGATGTGCTCAGTGGGAACGTCCCGGTTCCCTCTTCCGGGGAGAAGCATGTCCTGACGTGACTCCTGTGAAACTCCATCAGCTCGTGTCGTTAGTGCTGACAATCAGCTTGGGTAGAGGGAAGGGGTCTGGAAAGCAAAGCCCATCTTACCCTTCCACTGCTCTCCTGTCGAGACCCTCCTGGGAGGGAGCAAGGCTCGACACAGAAGATAGTTCCCAGGTCAGGTATGTTGGATCAGAAGCTCGTATCCAAGTAGCCCAGCAGCTGAAACATCACGATATTCCTTCTGGTCCTGCGTGTGCCGGTGAGCACTGCAAGGGGATCTGTCCTTGGGGACAGAGAGGTTTCCCTGCATCCAAGCTGAAACTCTCAGCTAAGACACTGGAAAATCCTACCTAGCACCTCCCAGCAGCCCTGCTGGGACAGGCTGGGGAGGATTCAAGGTGGGAAAACTCTCAGGTCTCCATCCTTGCTTTTTGCAAGAGCTGCTGCCTGATTTCCACTCTCCCCTTTTGGCTGAGGCTGCAGCATGACCAGCTCCTGCACGCTGAATTAAATCCGTCTGCGGGACGTGCACAGGCAAACACAGTCTGAGACTGAAACAGAGGTTTCAACAGCCTGAGCTGATGGGCTCTGCCATCTCGGAGACATTTCAGAGCAGGGATAGAGGTTGCAGAGGTCTTTTGGGTGCTGAAGTGAGGAAGCATCGTGGTGCTTCTCTCTGGGTGAAACCAGCTTCCTCAGCTGTGTCTCCTTTCTGCCGCAGGAAGCTTTGGAAGGACCCCTCAGCCTTCAACCCTGAGCGGTTCCTCGATGCTGCAGGGGCTGAGATAAGCAGGACGGAGAGCGACAAAGTGATGGCTTTCGGCCTGGGGAAGCGGCGCTGCATCGGGGAGTCCATCGGCCGCCGGGAGATCTTCCTCTTCTTGGCCACCCTGCTGCAGCAGCTGGAGTTCAGCCTCCGCCCCGGCGAGGAGGTGGACGTCACCCCTCAGTACGGGCTGACAATGAAGTACAAGAAGTGCGAGCACTTCCAGATCAAGCAGCGTTTCCCCGTGAAGAGCTCTCCATGAGCCGCAGGAGGAAGCATCGCGCTGCACGACAGAGCCAGCCCCTGGAGCTGGATGCTCAGCCTGCCTTTGCTAATGCTCTCCAGAAGCCAGCGCAGCTCCTCACTGGGTGGCTTCACTGGAGGCTCGTTCATCTCATGCAAATGCGAGTGGGGAGGGAGAAAGCCGGCTTTATTGGGCTGCCTGCACCCCCCCCAGCACGTTCCATGGCTCTTGACTGCAGGAATGATCACCAGAGGTCCATGGAGAGATCCATGGGGATCACTCACAGCCCTGAGGCGGGGAGGGAGGGAGGAGGATGCTTCGGGCTGGGAGGAGCAGTGAGGGGTAGCGGTAGGGCTGTCCTCACCCTGCCTGGTGCAAAACCCCCTTCTTCCACCAAGTAGGAATCAAGGTGTGGAATCCTCCCTGGGAAACCTGGCCAGGCTTTTCCCATGGGGGGAAGTCTCTCAGGCTCTGGCAGAGCTCTCTGTGAAGCCTTTGGCTCCTTCTGTCGATGGGAACAATCTCTTCCTGCAGCTCCAGCTACCTTCTGAAGGGCTCTCGAGGTGATGCAGGAGCCAGAACTGCACCAGCACCCACCTTCCCTCAGCGTAAACGCATTAAATGAATTCCCAAGTGTTTCTACCCATTCTTGGAGATGGCCTGAGAGGAAAATGAATGTACCTCCATAAGCAGTGCTGTTCACACATTGAAATGTTGGCTAAAGTCCTCCCAGGAAGCCTCCTGGAAAATATCAAAGGACGGAGAAGAAGGGACAAGAAGCAATAAGAGGCACGTTCTGGCTTCCAGATGATGTATTTTCTGCTTTTAACTAACTAAGAGTTTGGGGGTCTTTTAGCAAGCAACAGATTTCCATATTCAGCCCAGTAAAGCTTTGAGGGCTACAGGAGATGGTGAGTTCCCATGGCAAATGGAGCACTGATTCCTGCTTCTTTGTACCTGTGTGGAATGTGCCCATACACTGGGATATAAACTGCAGTGATTCCCAATAAATACTTACATGAAAGCGTTTCAAGTTTCTTGTTTGGTTCTTTCTGGTCTTATTCCTCTGGGAAAAGATTTTTTTGGGGAAAAACCCAAGCCATATCTCTCTATCATCCTTAAAAAGCTGACTTGGATGTGTTGGACCAGGGTTTTCCTGCAGGGACGTGAGCTGGATGTTACTTTACCATCAGGGCTGTGACACCAGTGGCATTAGGGGGAGTGTTTAGTCCTCATGGGTGCTGGCTCTGGTCCTCTCCCTGCGTGTATAGAGAAGCCAAAACCTCAGCTGGAATTGCAGAGGTGATGCTGAGCTCTGTTTGCTTCAGGATTTCACCCAAAATATGGAATGGTCCTTTTATCCCCGAAAATAAATGAATCAGGAGCTTGAAAACAGCGTTCCAGAGTGCTCAGGGAGCTGATCCACAGAGAGATGCTTTGGACCATCGCCTGCTCTGTGCTTCCCCACCCTAGACCACGGTTATTTCTGAGGCTTTGCATGACATCCCTTAAGAAAGGGGAGAAGCATTAACTTGCCGTGCAAATGATGATGGAATATATAGAAAACTGGGGTCTGTGCACACTTAAAGGGCACCCCTCCAGGGTTTCCAGCTCTTGCCCCACAGGCATGTTTGCTTGAGGCACAAATGCCTGGAACTGGGGTGTAACACCAGGAATCTTGGCAAAGTTGTGCTGAAAAGCATGTTCCTCCCCAAATCCCTGCCCTGGGATGCTCTGTGGTGGGAGCTACTTTTGCCCCATCCAAGGCTACAATCAAAGTCAGAGCAGAAAGGCGGCTATTTGGCTCTATCCATCTCCGTGGCTCGGGTGGGGAGTCTGGGGGAAGGGATGGAGGTGAGGGAGGGCTGATGGAAGTGTGAGGGAGGGGTGGTGGAGGTGACAGAGGGGTGATGGAAGTGATGGAGGTGACAGAGGGGTGATGGAGGT